TAGCTGTTGAGGTCCTTGGGGCGTGAAGTCTTTGGCACTGGTACAACACAGGAGGTTTTCCAGAGCTGTGGGACTCTTCTTATGTTAATGCTCTGAAGTGTGATGTGCAAAAATAGCAGCACTCTTACAAATCGAAAAGCAGTCTTGTAGACAGTGTGAGGACAGGTCTCCAGTAGACCCACATGGACTGATTCTTATATTCCGGAGTACTCAAAGCGCTGTACACAACATGCCTCATTCACCCCATTCACACCCACTCATACAAGCACTTCTAAACACAAGTGCAAACTAACCAACATTCACACTCCGATGAACGCTTGGGGAACTTGGGGTTGTGCCCAAGGATATTTGGGCCCATGCAGGCTGGGGAAGCCAAGGATCGAACCACCAACCTTCCAATCAGTAGCTGATCTGCTCCACCACCTGAGCCACCCCTGGCTTGAAAAACCTGTAGAAAGTCAAAGCTTCTTCTGTTTAGATCCTATTGACACAAGCTCGCTTTTAATCATCTTGGCTTGAACTAAACAGTAAATGAGTTTGCTCACTGCTGATGTCTGCCAATTTTTTGTGACAAAAAGAAGGGCTGAATTCCACAACTTCAGAGAAATTAATGTGAAGCTGAGACATCCAGCCATGCCTATGCTTATAGCAGCTGACTCTTTTTTTAGTGAGGTTAATTCATTTCTTTTATTTTGGTTTCTAGTTTTGATGTATTTTTTGTTTCCCTAGGTTGGAATGAAACTAGATACTTATTATTTGGTAATTAGTGAATACCCTTTGCTACCTTGTTGTGTCCTAAATGTTATGCAACCATCTACCACGAGATGGAGCATTGTTGTAGGAATTAGACTAGCTGTCGTTTGGATTTTACAAGGAGGATGTCGAACAATTTGCAAATTTGCAAAACCTGTCGTAAAACTATTGCTGTTAAAGGTTGCAGTACAAGAAATTTATTCCACTGAAAAATTACGACTGTTTTCAACTCTGCATGTCAATGTCTCCCCGCATACCAAAGAAAATTTTAAATAAAACCAGCTCTGTTACCTGTGACTGTTCTTCGTCAGTTGTTTTTTTTGGCACTATCCATCTTCATGGATACAAGCAGTGGAAATGAGATTTCTGTGAAAGGTGGATGGGCTTTCCCTTCGTGACAGCGTGAGTTCAGTTAGTCAAGAGAGGCTCAGAGTAGAGCCGCTGCTCCTCTACATCAAAATGAGTCAGCTGAGGTGGGCGCCTCTTGGATAAAGTATTCCAATTAGTCATGTCCTAGTGAGACGAGGCTCCGGAGGAGACCCCTGACTAGACCCAGAGAATATATATACTGGATGGCCTGGGAGTGCTTCGATGTTTCTTTGGATAAGCTGGAGGAGGTCGCTGACAAGTTGAAGGTCTGGGCTTTCCTGCTTGTCTGGGATTTATGGTCCTGTAAATTTATGACCATCTGCGTACATTTTTTGGTTGGACAGAGGAGGGGAGAGGTGGTTTTCACCGATGTGAGAAGAGCTGGCATGCAGTCCTTCAAGATCTTGACTGCACAGATGTCCGAGTGACATCTGTTGTCAGATGAAGGCAGTGTACAAAGTATGTGCTACAGCTGGTCTGTGGGTAGCTCTTGCTCACGGTTTTGTTGGTCCGTAAGCCACCCGCAGAAAAGAACGAAGTCATAACATACAAAGAGCTGAATTGAAGCAGAGTGTTAAAAATAATAAGAAGTGTCTGCTGCATCCACTATCTGTGCTTTTCAGTCTTTAAATTGTTGGTCTTAGAAGTTTTTTTTGCCATTCTCCTCTTCCCGGGAACTCAGCTATGCGTCATGAAATATTAGATACGTTTACACCGGCAGGACACTGGTGGGACAGGGCACTGGAACATGTGTAAGGAAACATCAAGCATGCCCACAAAACGACACCCATCCCCTACCTGGGACTCTGCTCCTGCTGAAACGCATCCAGTCGTCAGGTCTGCCAATCCCCATGCTAACAGTCTCTAGCTTTTAAAGAGCCAGTTTTAGCTTTAGTTTCAAAAGATTTACATCAATAATGATCAGACCATGGTCATACAGAAAATTACAAATTTACAAAAGCAAAGAAGTAAAAACCATTTTATTTTATTTTCCGAAAAATACTTTGCATTCACGAACCTCTTCGTGGTTTCTTAATTTCTTTATGTGAGAGAATGATGAAGAGTTGCAAAATGAGACAAGCTCACTCTATCTATCTATCTATATTTCTTTATGTCATAAAATAAAATAAATTATTGACCACTTTGACAAGTACAGTTACAGGTCAAGTACAGTGGATAGAAACATTGTCAATTTTTTTTTCTCTAATGAAGAGCACAAGCATGTGGCTGCTCGATGAGGGAATCCAGAAATGCGCTTCAATGAAAAGACAATTACAGACTTGAATCTTTTTTATTTTATTTTATTTTTTTAGGTGGTATGTCCTCTCCACTTAATCCTTTAAAGCTGGCTTGGCCAACTCGAGGCCTCGAGGGCCGGTGTCGTGCAGGTTTTAGATCTCACCCTGGGTCTACACAGCAGGACACCGGCCCTTTGAGGCCTGGGTTTGGACACCACAGCCTCAAAGGGAAATCAGTACAAAGTTGTTCTGAGTGATCGTCTTTGTCCTGTAATCAAACATTTCTGTCATGTTGACCTCACACGTGGGGCCATTGAAAGGTTTGATGTAATGAAATGATGTTAACCAAATCCAGTAGTAAGTACCTATTAAAGTACTCGGAAAACTTAAGTGATCTTTTAATCAGTTTTTTGTCTGTCTGTCTGCAGGGATGCACACGTCAGTGCGTGAAATTAATCTTTGCTCAGACACCTCCTACTTCCTGCGGGTGGACTGGGAAGGGTGCAACTTTAGTACCGGCTTCCAGTTGCTGCTTACTGATGGACAAGATGCATGGAGAGGGGAAGGTAAAAACAAAAATCACTCAGCATGACTTCACAGTTTATTACCTTATATTATACACTCTTACCTCTTTTACATCACATGCCATTTTTATACACAGTCCTCAGTTTTCAGAGGCTCAAGATAAACTTCAAAGGCTTAAAGTCCTTTGAGATAAATGTTGCCTGGGACATTGGAAATTGGTACCAATTTCACTGAGCAACTGCTGGCAACCTCCAGTAACCACCTGCTAATCATTCCTGAAAATACATTTTTCCTTATCAACCGGTGGTTACCAAATGGTCACTAATGGGCTTCTGGGCCTGTGTGACGGGGCCAAGTTGTTTTCTGCTGTTCTGGTGTAGCTGACTTGGCCATTCTGAAAGTTTTTGCTATATCTTTGATAGATGAATTTAGTTTGTTCTTCAGAAAGCTGCTGCACGCTAAGCTGAAAATTAGTTTAGAAAATGCTAAATGCAAAAAATAAAGACAAAGAATGTTTTGTTGCAAGCTCAGTAATTCAGACAAAAATCCTTGATACCATTTATCTAGACCCAAGTGACTTCTTCCGTCTCTACAGTCTGAATCTGAAGAGGGTCAAGAAGTCAGTTGGATGAGTGATGACTAAAAACCAGATGACTATAAACCACTGAAAACCGCTGTATTCAGAGGAACTGAATGACCTTTTTGGTTGATTCAGTTCAGAAACTAACGATTCTTGAAATATATGTGAAACTTAAATCAGTAATTTGTAACATACTGATTTGAGGGATAGCTGTAGCTCAGGATGTAGGACAGGTCATCTACTAATGGGAAAGTTGGTGGTTCTGGGATGTACACAGTGCTTAGTAAATGTATTAAATCAACACACAGTGCAACGTTTATATCAATCAATCAATCAGTCAATCTTTATTTATAAAGCACTTTTCATACAGAGAAAATGTAGCACAAAGTGCTTTACATAGTTAAAAGCAGCCCACCCCACCCTCCAACTCACTCCCCACACTCTCAATACACATATATCCCCCCACCCCCACCCACACACACGCGCACACTTAAAGAGTAAAAATTGGGCTGGA